TAGACTGGGGAGATTTATTGCGTAGATAAAAGGATGAAACTTGCAGACAAACGTAACCCTAGATACAACATACATTTGATAAAGTAAATCTTGAAACGCATAATCTTATTCGCATATCGTCATTAACAGCGCAGTATCCACCCCACACTTTAGGAAGCTTAGCACATCTTAAGACAATGGATGATACTGAAAAGGGGGCAGGATGTATTGTTTCACATTTAGTTCACTTTTTGTTTACCATTCTTTCCCTGATGTTGTAAGAATGGTATAAGCCATATAATATGTAGCTTATGCTGTAAGCAACTAATTCTAAAACAGCATACATTTGCCATTGTGCAACATTGCATGATTGTAAAATAATAAATATGCATATAGTTGTCGGTTTACCTTAGTTGTTCGCAAACTGAAATAATAATCAACCTTCGTCTTATCTTCGCATTATTTAGCAATCTCTCGCATATTCCTTATTCTGTTTAATTTCTGGAAAATGCGAAGTGTTAATAGTGATTTTTCTCGAATCTTTCAGAAATGAATCGTGAATCCTTTCTTTACTAACAACCCTATGAACAGGATTCTGCGCGTGGCTGCGAATTATATGGTGCAAGCAATGTGATTATAGATTATTATTTAATTTTAGAATTAACATAAAAATTTGTTGCTTTATATTTTATTAAGTAAGTAATTTTAATCATCTTCGACATTCCTCATGATTTCAGGAGAATTTCCCTTATCTCTGTGAGATATTTCAAACCTTTATCTTTCTGTATGAAATATTACGTATTTCAATAAATTTTCAACCTCTTCCTGTTCAGCTTATATAATTATTTAGGCACTAAAGAGGGCATAGTTATTAAAGCGATTACAAATCCGTAGCACACGCAAACATTAATTGAATTTTATACACATTTAATAATTACTCACAACAATATGTGTAATTTTGATTCTGACTGGCTCATAAAGATTAATAATTAATTACCTTTTATGCGTTTTATCTTAAATGTACAAAATTGTACGTTAACGTTTTCAGTATGAAAAGCAACTCAGAAATGAATTAATTTGTAACCGTTCCAATTTTCATTTATGAAGTATCAATAAAATCCTACGTATTGGTACACCATTTTCTAATTTCTCCTAAAAACTGGCAAATTTTGATAAATAGAGTATCAGAGTTCGTCAAGAGTAGATGAATGCATGATTAAGAATCCGAATATTTTTTCTTTGCTGACAAAATCCCTGAACTTTATTCTCAGGTTTATTACTGGTCACAGAAGTAGTTTGAAAGGATTTTCATTCTTCAAGGGCAGTCGGAAAAAAAAAAGTATCCGAAATTCCGTATTTCGAAGAATTATTTTTTTCATTTATCGCCTTCTCTACTGAAGACAGCAATTTCCGGTGTATTTTTCCCCATTTTTTTAACAGGCGCTTTTAATATTTTTTTTTTTTTTACTGGAAAGAATTATTCCTTCTGTATAAAAATTAATAGGATCGACAGTAGGATTCATCAAGTCATCGTAACTGGAAGTGTAAAAGCCCCTTGTATTAACTTACTTTTGTGAAAGATGCTTTTGTCTCCTTCCGCTCTCCTAAACTTCGAAAATTTTTTTCCAGCTCCTCGAAGACGTCACCTATAAATTTCTTTCAGAGTAATACTTTCAGAAGTATTCTCTTGTTATCAAAGGTTCCTGTTTGCCATATTTAATGGCTTTCTTATATTCAATAGTTGTCCTTAGAGTATTATAGTTAGATATTAAACCGTTTTTACCACAAACGCCGTTTATTTACATCGGGGGGGAAAAAAAAAAAAAAACTGAATGGTTTCAGATTTTAAATTACGTCCAAATGCGTTTTTTTAACGTTTTTTGTGTTACCTTTATTTATTTATTATCATGCTCTTTGCACTTAAACCATAAAATTCAGCTCAACAGCAATATCGCAAAATAATTTTAAAATGAGCATATCTTTAGAATTTTCCATGCACAGTTCCGCGCGCTGGAAATAAAAGTAGTCCCCTCCCGTAGAGTGTTGCCATTGCTCGCTTTTATATTGTTCAATTTGTTAATAAAAAATTCGTTAAAGTTTTACAAAATATGAAACCGAATAATAAAACAAATTCCAAAATTTCAAAATTCGGTTCTTCCAAGATGCTAATATTCGCAGGTGGAGGCATTACGTCATTTCAAAATCTGGATGGCTCTAGGTACCGTTGTTTTATTCACAATGCAAGAAATACATGCATACATTCATGCAGATTCTTCATTATTTAATTTTTTTAAATATAATACAGGGCGATAGTATTTGGTGGCAACAGTTTGAAAAGTGAAACGGATATTCAGAGTGATTCACTGCAAAATCGCAAAATGAAAACAAAGGTCCTTCAGGGAGAAATCCTCTTTGGACTAATAAATTCAAATAACGCGATTTTTTTTCACTTTTTTAATTAAAATATGTTAATATTTTTCAATTTTTTTAATAATTGAATACCGGAATACCTGAATACAATTTCAGCATTCTTGCAGAATTTCGTTCTGATTTTAATATTATAAAATAAAATTTAAAAAAAAAACTGTAAGTAGAATTGTAATGTAATAATTTCGTAATTCCATGATCATACTTTCATGTCATAATAGTTTACATTTTCCCAAAATTATATGCTTGGTTACTATTCAGTAATGTATAATTAGGTATATCTGCAAAATACAGTTAAGAAATTTCTCACCGATTTAAGTAAAAAATTATTATCCTTCAATAGACAACGTCATATAGCTTTACATATGCTTTTAATAGCCCAAGTAACAATTTGGCCAGAACTGTTAGTTTCGTTTTGGTATTTTGCGTCCGTTCACCATAAAATTTTGAATCACTTTTTAAATCGTTGCCACCAAATATTAGAACCCCAATATTATATTTAAAGAAATTAAATAATGAAGAATCTGCATAAATATATGTATGTTTCTCGCATTGTGAAAAACCAAAGATATCCAGAGACCTCAAATTTTGAATAACGTAGTCCTCCACTCGAACTGAATACCGGAATACCTGAATACAATTTCAGCTTTCTTGCAGAGCTTCGTTCTGATTTTAATATCATGAAGTAAAATTTAAAAAAAGGAATTGTAAGTAGAATTGTAATACAATAATTTTGTAATTCCATGATCATATTTTCATATCATAAAAATACTCATTTATCAAAATCACTAGATAGGTCATTTATCAGTAGATAAATTTATCCATATAGATAGACCATAGTATGTTTGTAAACAATTAATTTCAACTTCTTTTAACCTCTTTTCGGCAGAAAACGGCTTCCCAGCTGAAAGCTTTTGGTCTGTCTTCTTTGTTTCCAGCCGTTGAAGACGAGTACAATTTATGTTTCACTTAGATGACTAATACTTCCTAGCTTGGTCACAAAACATTGGTCTTCATACACCACATTATTTTCGACTATGGAATCACCTTTAGACTATGGAAACCTTTTGATTCTCTGGCACCTAAATACTGTATGCATGGCACATTCTGTTCGGATTCGGAGCGGGGAAAAATATAGAGAGCTCCGTCTGCTTCCATTCTTCCACTGTAATCTTCGAAGTTTGTCTTCCAGTTTGTAAGGTGGCTATTCTTGTTTAGACACAAGCAATGTTCTTTAAAAAAATCTCAACATCAAATACCTTACTAGATTCTGTGCTAGTAATCTTAACAAAACCCTTCTTAGCAGAAAATCCTCACTTCTGCCACGTGCCGTCGAAGCAACAGCAATATCAATCATTATTACTTCCATTTTCAGCAACTGCTTCTAAAACAGTTTCATACTATCTTCACAAGTTTCTCTTACTTCCTGCGGTAAGAGAGTATTATATTTAGAAGATTTTGCAGGGGGCGGTAGAAGATTCATATCACCACAAAGCAATCTTGCCGTATGTTGAAAATATAATTTTCCCACAGTTTTGAAGAAAAAGAAATTATATTAACAAAACGCACATTCTATTTGAAATTTAATAGTTTCACCACAGTTATTTTCACTTTTACACAATCGTCCTGTTTTTTTTCACATTTTAAACATCTCATAAATTCAAAGAACACAGAAGCTAAAATATTAGTATCCATGATTACATTTTTAACACGAGATGTTTCATTTGAATCTAAAACATCCGAATTATCTAATTCATTTTCACTAGCTGATGAATTAATAATATTTGAATGATCAGCTCAATTTTCTTCTAGGGCTTCTTCATATTCACTCCTTTGTTTACCTTTGCTTTTATTATAATTTCCTTTACTCTTTTTAAAGACTATTGCATTTGATCTAGGTATGGCTAAAACTAGTTAAATAAAGGAAATAATACGTTAAGTGTGCTCAGTTTTAATATGACGCAAGAGAAAAGAGCAAATGTTTCAAAATCCAAAGCGTGCATTTGCGAAAGCTCTAAGCGCAGGCAAACTGAAATTTAGCGAACTGTCTCATATACAGTGAGATTTCTTATCAGCGAAAACATAACCTTGAGACTTACCGCGGGGTACAGATTAAACGTTTCAAATGAAATCAAACTCTGTGCAGTAAAATATAAACAAAGTGCAATGTGCACAGTTTCATCACTTTAAATGAGCAGAACAAGGATTTTCAGTTTATCTTAGTAAGAAAACTGAACATTTACAAAATAAACTGAAAAAAAAAAAAAAAAAAAAAAAACTGAAAAAATAGAAACGTTGTTATGTTAATAGTTAACACTGCGTCTAAAATTCTAAACAAATGATACTATGCTACTTTTAGAATTTTTGTAAATTTGCTGTTGAATTGTGTATGTGTAAATTCGAAGAAAATGATGCTTAAACATAAAGCTAAGAAGACAGAAAAAAAAAAAGTAGGCAGGAGTGAGTGCAACAGCAGACTGGTGGACTGTGAGCTCAGACGACAGCGTAGGAAAAAAGAAAAAAGAAAAAAACTGTAACCCTTTTGGGTAACTGTTAAAATCCGAAACCTTTCAGATTTTTCTTTTTCTTTTCAGGTTTCTTGCCGGCTGTCGATCGCTCTGCTCGCGGTAATTATGGCCTGATGGATCAAGTAGCGGCTCTTCACTGGATTCAAGACAACATCGCAGAATTTGGTGGAGATCCGAATAACGTTACAGTCTTTGGACAAGGACATGGTGCTGCTTGCGTTAATCTTCTGATGTTGTCTCCAATGGCTAAAGGTTTGTTAATTATAGTTTCTATATATTTACCTAATAGCTGAAGCCTTTTATATCTTCAGTTTTGCCAATTTGCATGAATTGATCACAATGAGATTCAAAGTTAACCTGCAAAGATGAATGATAAAAATTACATATAAATTTAGTTATTTAAAAGGCATAAATAACTTATGAAAGATATGACCATTTTTTAAATTTCTTTCAAAAGAATCTATATGTCAAAACTAAATTCCCAATTTGCATTTCATAAGAATGGAAGAATATGCGAAATTTTTGTGCTACACTCATTACATTTTCGTAAAACATAAAGCGTGGCATTTCTTAGCAACTTTTTTGGTGAGAAGGAAAAATATTTAACTCTAAAGAAAACGTGCTCATAGTTCTTCCTGAAACATTCGAATAACACTGATCTTTTCCTAGAAATTTTCAGTAGTCTTCTGAATATGTAATTTTAGAAATATTCTCCCTTTCCTGTGCGAGAGGTTCAACAAATTCTTTAATGTTTTAAAGCGAAAGCGATGTCGTTCTAGCCAAGCGCAAAACGTATAGGAGATCAATAGAAACACGATACACGAAGAAGCAAGAAATTCAGTGGCAAGGTATATTTCTAGAAAAGTTTGCACGCATATTTAAAGATTTCCCTAATTTTGCGAAGTTCCAAATTAAATTCTCAAATTAAGTTAAAACTGAGTTTTCTGGCTGCAAGTGTGCTAGAAGCACGCTGACTGTAAATTCTGAACGTTTTCGGAAGCAGGAGGGAAAAATATATATGCGTATGAGAATAATAATGTTCTTTAAAATATGAACTTAGAAATCCTTCCATGTGAAACGCATGCAAAATAGCTTGAAAGAATTATTTTATTTTTATTATTAACAAATAGTCTTTTACGTAGCATTACTATGTTAACTATACAACGTAAATAATATTGTTACTGTGCACTTAATTACAAACTAGCGTTATCATGGTTACTACTAAATATGCATAACACCATAATATTTATGCATCGTTAATGTGTAAATGTGTAATACTATCTAATGCATTTCCTATAGGTTAAAAACTTTACTCAGACATTTTAGGGCACTCTGTAGTCTAAAAAATTGAAAATAAAAAATATACCGAACTTGTGATGAATCATACAATTTTAGTTAAATGCACTCACTAAAATGTAAAAATTAGTTATTTTAGCTACCTAAATATTCTTGGTTAAACGGTGCTAAAACTAAAACAGTGCAATCCCTGTACACAAACTAGAAATAATGTGTAATAAATGACATCTGAAAGAATGATTAACATTAAATTTAATTATTTTTTTTCTTCGATAGTCTTAATTTATAATGCGCCATTGTTAGCAGCCGTAGTACTTTAGTTTTAGTCCCATGTAAGGAACGATAGAATTGTCCAAAAAGTAATCAGAAAGAGTATCCTGGGCCAACTAGAAGTTCCAAGGGGTGCAGCATCTCTGGCATTGACAGGTTTGGAGCTGTTAAGTACGTAAATAGTCGATTTCTTGTCAGCCGCGTGTAAGTTGTTACAGAATGTCTATTACTTGCGAAATGAACTGTTGTTTGTACATTGCGTAAATACAGAGGGTTATCAAGCAATGATATGCAAAGAGGTTTTGAGGCAAATTTGAAAAAATTCACAATCGAGAATGATACAAAAACCTGCAGCAAGTTTACTTTAAGGAAAGCACGAGTATTTGGGTAGTAAAAAATGCTCAGAAGAAGGTATGGTCAACGTCTCATACATTGGATAATGCGCGAGAATATAATAAATACATTTCTGAATGACGTCAGCGTTTTATAATGATAATAGATCAGTTAGGACTACCAAAATTCATTGTGGATGAAATTATCACGACAGATTTGCACATGCGGAAAGTTTATGCCAAAGAAATGCCTATGACTGAAAAAAAAAGGAAGACTCGCTTATCGATTACATTTGACCGTACGAGAAATGATCTTGACTTCTCCATATCCCCTAAAATATTCAGAAAAATAGAATTCGGCTATATTAATTAATTTTTCTTTTCCGTACATTTAATTAAAACAATAATATTGTTTAAAAAATATGAATTTTGTTTTTATAAATTGTCTCGAAACATTACTAAAGTGAAATAGCCTACTGACATCTTAAACATTAAAATTAAAATTTCTTGCTTAAAATAAACATGAAAATACTAACCACTACCACCTCACATAAACCAGCCCTTGTCCAATGTAATTGCCTTGCTTTGAGATGTGTGCAACTCGCAAATGTACAAAAAAGTAATATATTATTGATATCACTTATTAAGATATCCCCACTAATTAAAGAGCTCCTAACTAAATAACAATAAATTTCAAAATTTGGTGAAAAATGATATTTTTCAGTGATTTATTTGAATGGGCATAATCATTAATTTTACCAAACTATTTCGTTTTTATCTGTGCATCAACTAGAAAAGAAGATGATATAAAGTAGGGACAATAGGAACTCAGTATTTAAATCTTAGAAAGTAACCTTTTAAAAGAATCCATGCCATAAAATATTGAATTCTAGTGAAAAAGAAATTACTGCTTTATTTCATAGCAAATTTTTAGTTTCCCGAGATAAGTTTGTTTTCATCTGCGTATTAATGAAAAGAGAAGATATTGAAGATTTTTATTAAGCAAGGAGGAGCAAAAATGAGCATTTAAATCTTAGGAAATGAGTATTTAATGTACTGAAATCTATTTAGAGACTTTATAAAAATAAAAATTTTTAATTATAGTAAGGTTTTGACATAATAATAATAATTTAGAAGATACGTAAAACTAAGTTTAATTACATTAGGTATTTTAAGAATGTGTCAGCAGTATGCATCGAAAAAAGGCGTCAGAGAATTAAATAACGCCTTTATTGATATAATCCAATCATTTTATAGCCTTTTATACTTTGCAGCAAATGCCAATAATTGCCAATCAGCATGTTACAGCAATAACAACAAAATGCAGGAACAAGCCCAAAGGAGAACAAAAAATAATTATAATTAAGCATGTATATATGAAACAAATTTATCAAAAATTATTGTTGAAAATGACTGCGTGGAAAAATGCAGAACGCACGCAAGTGTTACAAAGGTGTCGTATGAAAGTTAACATGGAAGATACTTTTGTTGAATAAAACATTTTAAACTATTGGGTGATGGCTATGATTTTTGTCACACTTTCCAACAGAGGTTTTAAAGGTTTCTTAGGCTGTAATCACACACCCATTTATTTCGGCCGAACATCTGATTTCAAACAATTTTCCTACTTGATTTACCGTTGAAATAAAGACGCATGATTTTTTTCAATCCTTTTGCAAAAAGTTGTAAATTGTTTATTTTCAACCAATCAGCTATCAGCATCGAACTTATCATAGTCATCATTTACATTTAATATTTACGAAAACAAACCCCAACTTGTGATTAAAATCCTTATACAGAATGCTTGTTAAAAAATTCACAGCACATTGCCAAATCGAAAGGTTTAGAATTAAAATTTATATTATTGCGAAATGTACAGGCGCGGTAAGATAACTTCCCCGCAAAGCAGTTTTAGGATTGCCATAAAATGACAAAGGAGTGCAAGGTTGCCATATTTGGCTCAAAATCGCCCATTTGGCGACATTTGGCGATATACCATTTGGCGATATACCATGGCGATATACCATGGTTGGAGAACCTTGTGGAACGCATTCTTACCGGTTTAGCCCAGAATGTTCCCGAACACAAGCCAAAAGCTATATAAGCCCTGCTGGTCCGCAGTCAGTTAGTGCGTCTCTCATCGAGTGTGTGTATGCTTCGTCTAGCGAGCTGATATCAGTCATTGAGCGAGTGTCTCGAAGTCTATCGCCGAGGCGGTCGTCGAGTGCATCGAGAGAGTCCATCGTCGAATTTTGTCTTAGACTGTGCTGAGTCGAGAGCTATACTCTTCGGGCATCGTCGAGCGCATCGTGTGGAGAGTCTCGAGTACGTGAGTGGAGTTCGAGACCAAGCAACGAGTTGGGAGCTGTACTCGGGTGCTTTGCAGTGAAGCTGTCTCCACCGTTATTGCCTGACAGTGTGAAGGCTGTGTAACTGATTGTTCCAACGTGTTTATAGAAGATCTCCGACGACTGTAAAAAGTGTTATTGGAGCTGTCCTGATTAACGTTGGCTAAATAAAGTGCGTTCCGATACTTCATCAAGTGTCGTCGTTATTCACTCCAAATCCATAAACTCCGTACGAACGCGAACGAAGAAAATAACGCAAAAGCTGGTGTCAGAAAAGATAAAAACGTAACAATATTTTGTATGACCATCCTACAACCAAAGTCCCCGTAATAAAATATTCTTTATACCTTATGGATTTAAAATTTTAAGCTTCGTAACCTTGAGAGCAAATTAAAATTCCGTTTTCCTTAAAAGAGCATTCGTTATTATAGACAGCTGATACATTAAATGTAATTTTAACTTTCTAAAAATATTTCAAATAAAAATTTGGAAAACTTATTTTAAACAGATAAAATATTTTAATTTCTGAAATTTTTAGTTTTACAGTGATTGCGTAAAATATTTCACCAACTGATTGATATATCCTCAGCTACGGAAATATTTCGCATAAAATTATTTTCGTTGTTTTAAAGAGTTTAATAGAAGGAAATACTTGTCTAAGATCAGTGATAAAGGAAGTTATACCTGCCGCCTCCTTATCCAACATCCTTTATACATCCGAACTAAAAACTGTCACTGTATTAAATACATTAACAGAAATTTTAGTAAACGTAAAACAAAGAATTAAGATATGTTAATTTTTTTTATATTAAAGATAAAAAATAACTATTAAATATTTATAAAATTAAAGATATAAGTTTTCAAGTTTGAAGTCAGTGAGGAGTGTCGTTTCTAGTACAAAACAAAAGTGAAAAAACAATTATACTTACAATTAAGTGTATGCAGGTACGGAAACTATGATTTCGAGTTTTCCAGTTAAAACGACTTTAAGGTCAACTAATTTGTA